GGATAAACAGCATTTCAAATGATACTATGCTTGAACCCATGCAAAAAGACATCAAACGCTGCAGTTAGCACCTCATCATCACATTTAACTTTCCTTGGACGCGAAAGGTACTTCTTGGCAGACCATCAAACAGCAGTGAGGCAGCAATGGCGTTGCATCATGTTGAGTGATGATGAGTGAAGGTAATACATACATGAGTAATTACGACGAGTGATGGTGGTCAATGATACATGAGTGATAGCGGGAGGTGCCATGTGGTGGTGGTTGATTGGTGAACATTGGCTCGCTCTGGAGGTTAAGAGTGGGGGCTGGGTGAAGGTGGATGAATATGAGTAAGTTTCCATGGATGAGGGTGAAGATAGGCGGTGGTGAGTTGAGTTGTGTGGTGGTGAGAGACCCTCGCACAGAGGCCAAATAGTCGACTTGACAACATATCGACTTGAGAGCGAACTTTGCTTTAGCAGGAGACTAACAAAAGTGGTCATGCTCATTTTCTTGATTAGATCGGTGCTCATGATGTCAATCATTGGTGTGCCTGGTTTACACTTGATTATGAACACATAAACCGACATATGTTAACAAACAAACATAAGATCCTTCCACTTCTCGCTGTCACACGGAAGTGCGCTATGCGATTTTCCCGTAAGGTAAGACAGGTTGCCTAATGTATACATTATCACAGAAACAGTTTAATAGGAACCTGGACACCTTGGTTTTGTTTGACACGGCCACGTCATTTAACTATAACCTCATTCTTTGAATCCCAAACACGGGTTGAATATAACAAGAGATCCTTCTTAAGTGTCCTTTTAAGGAACACATTCACGAAGCTATACAAGCTACCCACAACATGACAACGAACGCAGTTCTACAATCGTTTAAGCAAACAAACAAACGATCTCCCCACTGCTCACTGTCACAAGAGAGTGATATATACGATTAGGTAAGACACATTGCCTAATGTATAAAATATTTCAAGTACAATTTTAACGTGTCCAAGTTATGTTACTATAACCTCATTCATTGAATCCCAAATACGGGTTGCAGTTTTGAGATCCAAAGACCCAATACCTTAATTCTGAGATGTAAATGGTCCATATAAGGAACTAGGACAGGTTCATGAAGCTATACAAGCTACCCACAGCATAACAACGGACGCAGTTCTATAATCGTATCAGCTTCAGAACCACATATATATGACTGGCCGTTCAGGAAACGTATATCTAAGACACTGTTGCTGATGGAGTAATCTAATCAAGACTAGTGATAATCCCACCTAAACCGCTTCTTCTCTGCATCTCAATGCTTTCAGCCAAGTCGATTTTGTCGAATCATTGTCCAATATGCAATGAAAGGACTGAGGTATTTGTACACGGGCAAGTGATCACACAACTGATAATGTGCTAAACATTCTGGAAATATCAGATGAGATTGCGTCAGGTGAGGTAAAACGGGTCAGCGTCGCGTTCACAGTTATTGCACTTTTAAGGCGAGGTGAAGGAGTGTATGTAAGTGTACGTATGCGTGCGTAAGTGTGTGCGTGCGTGTGTATGTGTGCATGCATGTGTGCGTGCGTGCGTGTGTGTGCTTGAACTGCAGTACTAGCCCGCATTTTATAACGCTTCCCCCCTGGAATAATATTCCGCAGTTTATTATGCATACAACCAACTCAGACACAATATGCAGCATACACATTGTCCAACCAGTCCGTGTTCTATCTCCAGAGTCCCAAGCGACACCAAGTACAATTTTTTACGAAAGTTTTGTACCACACGGTCGAGGATCGAACCACCGACGGACACTCTATCAATATGACCACTGAGACGATCCATGACAGTTGATCCGACGCAGACAACCGTGGAAACGGAACAGGACAAGTCCAACCAGACTCCCATTTCTCTGTAAATGTCTTTATAAGCACAATCGGATTTACAAGTGATATTTTGGATAATAATCCCAAATGTATCTGTGCCAGTAAGTTGGAAATTGTAGGGGAAACAAGATCATAAGCTTAGGATGTTTCTGTATTTTGACATATATTCAAATAAATATGTATTAGATTTTCCACGAAGATTATTTATTTTCTATTCTTGTTCTAACAGCGAGGGAAAAAAATGAATGATAATATCCATTTTATATTGCTAGTATTTTCCATATTTCAGTCCTTTTGTAAAACTTTCTGGCATACAGAAACTGCCCCATCTCACATATGGTGCCACCTAGTTTTTGTGCATTTACAAAAGAGCTCAAATCGAAATCTGTTGGTTACGTAAGGCAATCACGATCATTTATTCAGTAAGAATGACATATAAGGTTAGTTGAGTGGTTCCTGTTTTGCATAGTTCATTTGCATATTTAGTGCATCGTGATATTAAGTTTGAGGGATTGGTTTATTGTTTCGATAACACTGTCGACACTTTGACGGACACAATCTGAAAAATGTTATTGCTGGTAAACGGTTGTATATCAGACCGTGCAGGAGACCTCACTGTCATTCGTAACACGGAGTTTCAAGGAGTCGTGTACAAGTAGTTTGTTAACAGCTGAAAATAATCTATAATAATCTGTAAAACATGAGTTAATGTGATGGTTCACTCACCTAAGGGTAATTCAAGTTTGTTTGTAACATCAGGGATTTCAGTTATTGAATTGCTAAATGAGTATTTAATGTACAAACCCATCTCAATGCAAGAATTCCTGCAAACATTTGTATAGCATTAATCATATTTGCTTGAATCTGTTTCCACACGCATTAATACTTGGGAAGCAGGCCGCAGCAAGAAATTATGTTTTAGAACACACAGTCAATGCTTTCAATTTCGGAATAAATTTCGAATTAAAAACAGATCTGTTTTCTTTGATGTTTATTCTAGAGATCCATGATCATCTATCAATGTCATATGGTTTAGGCCTCACCACATTTTTCATCCTCGCTTAATCAATTTGTCAATGAGGCGCTCTGAAATCTCAGAGTCGACCGTAAGTGAGTGACATGTCCTGTTACATTGATGATGAAGCGTTATAAATGTTCTTTGAGGATCCTGTGTGAGTCTGAGAAGCTTAAATGTGATACGTGGCAATCATGATCCATAAAAACCACACAGAAACAGTATAAATCTATAGCTTTAAAACGGTTAACGCTGAAGCAAATTATCCCAATCGTCCAATCATAGCAAATGGCTGTGGTTGCTGTTGTGGAAGATGTAGATTACGACGTCATTAATCCCAAGAACTCCCTCAGAAGACAGAAATATCCGGCAGCGACATCATTTCTGGAGGATAGCTATCTTTCTATACCAGCAAAAGCATCTGTCGCCTTGTTTTCTGGGGAACCGCTCCTCAGACGAGGAAGACTGTACATCAAAGGGATTTCTATGTTCCATTTATGTGTCTGTTTAAATTGAAAATGTCATTCATGGAAAAAGTCCGTTGTGGTGTAGGTTGATGACGGTAACGGGAAATAGAAAGATGTGAAGTTTCTTACTTTGGTATTTATTTGACAATTATGTGAATTATATGTAAATAATATTTTGTTAACACCTATTTACAGCCGTCCATAAAAGTAGGTTCCATCGCTCTTCTTTCTTTTACGCCAAACGGGATCTTTTCGATCGAGGTGAACGAGACTGATTATTTTGTACCATTGATATCTTATAAAACATTTTTTGTTAAAATTTGGAGATGTACGTATTGTAACAATGTACATAATCTTATGTCTGCAGCTTCAAAATATAAAATCAGATTCTCGTACTCTGGAAGTACGAGTTAGAATCCCACATATGACTAAAAAATACTAGAAGTTGTACTTTACTGAGAAAGTGTAATCCCAAATATATAATATGTCGCATTTGAAGACTTTCTAAAAAACGTTGTGTATTCAAGTTATAGACATACGGTTTTGTCATTCAAATATCATAGAATCTACTCTACCTTGTACTGTAAGATGATTGTGCAGGGTTTACGCGACGCAGAAATGTGCCTCTAGTATCAGAAGAGCTACATATTGTGTTCCAAATTATGCACAATATTATTCTTTGTAACATATTCTTGTCAAGGAGTATACGGTTCCTGTAACTGAATGATTACTAAATCTGTGTTTAAGTACATTACACCATTCCATTATATTACACAACCATTGTCATTCGTAATTCTAGTTGAGCAAGGTAACACCCTGAGTTTGTATTTTAATTTAGGAATATTGATACAGATATGTATACAATGATATAGTTTGTTACCGTGTATATATAAAACGCAGTCCAATATATTATCCGATGAGGTCCTATTAGTCAGATATCACAAGACACTGACTACTTAAAATAGCAAACTATATCACCATGCACAGAAAACCTCATACCTAACCCCGCCCTATCGGAAGTACATGTACCACCCACAATCATGTGTAAAGAAATAAGTAATCGTTGCCTCTGATGTCCCTGCCTTTAAGGCCATCTTAAAAAACCCAACGAATCATGTTCAAGAGGCAAGGGAGTTAACTGACTACTCAAATCCAGTCTTCATCCTCGCCCAGCTAAGCATGCTTCATCGTAACGACACTAGTGGGTATTACGAGTTATGTCCCTTAGATGTCTCTCCTGGCTACCATTAAGATTTCACCTCGAGTAGCACTTACCTTTGCTTCAAACAAAACATTGGCACCCAGTCAAGACGATGTGATCGATAATCATGATCAATAGTGTCATATAACAGGTCTTACCTCCTCACATAAAATCACTTGAGCAGGTTCATTAAAACATGAAAAGATTTGGAAAATATTTGTCGACCGTACACAATCTTTGTAATCGACCGTAATCTGCTCGGCAGCCGTCATATTGAACGTGATGCCGATTAAGTTGTGCCATTTTTAATTTGAGTATGCTCAGACTCGATCGTTTGACAATCCAACCCAGGATTTATATAGTCAGTTACCTCCCTTGGAAGGGAAAATGATAAACACAGTCTGTCTCACCCAGAACTCTGCCAACTATTATCACAAACAACTCTTTTCTGAAGTATATGGTACTTTATTTGCATTAGAATGCATCCAAATGTTACGACCTTGCATATATAAAGTATGCACCAAGAAAATAGAAGATTGGGATGTATTGCCGATGACGTGATACGCATGCGCAGTATAACTTCCGGTTGATTGAAATGAGAAAGCTACAGTAAAAATAAGATTTGTAGTGATACGTAAGGGTATAGTACATATGCTTTTACATTTACATGGTGACACATATTTACAGGTAATGGGAAAACCTCTTGAAGTCAGAAACACGAATGTATTCATATCGCCTTGCCAGAATGACGTATGTTGGATGAGTTCTCATGAAACTGCAAAATAGATTTCCCGTTCACAGACACGCAACGCATTAAAACCATAACGAGTTAAATCGTACAACGGAGTTAGGTCTGTGGCAGCAGATTACGTGAAATAAAACATGTCAATGTTTTAAACCACGTGGGAAGAAATATTCAGATACATTGACATTTCTTTTTAAAATGCGATCGTTTTCGTTTGTAAATTATTTTTGTCGTCACTTACGTATCGTGAATATTTCCGTTATCAGATGCCACAAAGGGGTCGGTCTAAAACAGCCGTTGCACGATTGAACACGTACTCTAAAATATCATATGAATGCAATGATCACAGTTATTGATGAATGATAGAGAAGCTATGTGACAATGTTTTGACTTCAGGAAACTGTCCCATTTTTAACATCATCAAAAACAATATGTAAAAAAATCACAGTCTTCACCTTTGAACCAGTCTCAACTTTCTGAAGAATATCTTTCTGAATGCTGTGCGAAAACTTGGATTAAATATTGTGTAGATGATTGGGTTGAGTAAACTGTTAAAATAGCCAAGCCATAAGAAGAAACTCATCATGACAGGAGGAAACGTACAGCTTTCCTTACAGAAAGGAGCAATGAGAGCAATGATGAAAAACGGCAACCAGCAAACAACAAAAGCACCAGTGATTATTCCTAAAACCCGAGCTGCTTTCCTTTCCCTCCTCATTTCAATTTTTTCTTTCCTAAGTTTGTCTTTCTCTCTATTTCTTGCCCTTTTGCTATTATTGTTTGATCTGTTTTTAGACAACACATACACATTTCCAGGCACTGTAAGAGATGGCCCGAAATTTGGGGGGAAGTTTCCATTGGTTCCTAAGAGGCCATTGTTTGTTTGAAGGCCATTGCCATTTTGGGCTTCCTCTGGTCCTTCAATAGTACTTTCAATCCGCGAGATCTCGTTCATATTTACACAGGAACCATTAAACATACTGAAGCCATCTTGGCTTACGTCACTTCCGGAGGAGTTCCGTGACGGGTTTCCAGTATTTTCAACTTGCACTACCGGCACAGGCGCCGGCCTTGGTCTTCCTCCGAATTTCTTTTTCCGAATTCTTGACCTCGCAGCTTTATATATTTTAAAATTCAGCACAAGCATAAGAGTCAACGGACAATAAAACGCACCAACTGTAGAAAATATGGTATATCCTTGATCCTGGCTTATCATACATTGTCCCGTTACATCTGGATCGACGTTGTCTTTCCAACCGAAAAGAGGTGGGATCGAGATGCTCACGGAGACAAACCACACAATTACAACCATTAGCATAATCTGTCTGGCACACCTTCTTCTGATGTAGTCTATGTTGGACACAGCCCAGTACCGGTCAAATGATATAGCCACAAGATGGAGGATCGACGCCGTACAGCACAACACGTCCATTGAAATCCACATGTCACACACCTCCCCGCCGAGATACCAGTTAATGCTAATTTCATTAACCAAACTCAGAGGCATCACCAAAACTGCTACCATCAAATCCGTCACGCCCAGAGACAGAATCAAGTAGTTCGACACACCTTGCAAACTTTTCTCTATCAAAATAGCGGTGAGAACAAACACATTTCCCAGAATGGTCGCCAAGATCATGGAACCCAAAACCAAACAAATGAAGATCATGATGCCCTCATTGTATCTCGGAACGTGGTTGGTATATCGTCTCTCAACGGTGTTGCCTGTACCATTGTCTGTCAGGTTATCGTCTAGCCCATTGACTGTGACATTGTCGAATATATACATGGCAACGTTATAAGGAAGTTCTTCGGTGGTGTTGTCCATATCCAATGCTTGGTTGCTTGAGGTTTCACTAAGATGAAAGACTCGTACGACGGGTAGTGGTAAAGGTTCTTAGTGATTATTCAAGTCTAAAGGCAGATATCCACCTCGAATTTCCTTCATTTGAGTTGTCTCAAACAAGAGTTCTCTCCCTTTGGCTTGTAAGCAGGTACAAATGCCCATCTGGAGTGGGCGATGTTTGGCATTGTGAGTGACGGGAATCTCTGTAAAGAAGAAAAGAGAGGTTAAATCAGTATTCATTAAATATCCTTTCCATTGCTAACTAACATAAGGATTATCTTTCCCATTCATAAACGGTTATGCAATAAACGCAATGAATGAATGAATGAATAAATGAAGAAAAGAAGGAATAAGTGTGTGTGGATCAATGAATGATTGAATTAATATGTGGTTGAAAGGGTTATATCATAGACATATATGCAAATAAATTTTTATTTATCTGATAAATAGTAATGTATGCTAAAATAGATAACGAATGAATGAATGGTTCGATGGATGCTTGGATGGATGGATGGATGGATGGAAGGATGGATGGATGATGGATGGATGAATGAATGAATGAATGAATGAATAAATGAATGAATGTCAAGTTATCATTGGAGCTCACACACAGTTTTGCTTAAATGTTCAGAGATGCTAATAAGTTAGGAAAACTTTAAGACATTCACAATCAGCTTTAATTCATTTCAACACTTGAATTTACGATCCAATAACATTGCTTCACATATAGGCAAAACATGAAGATTAAAATGAGTGGAAGATGGTGAAAAACTTCATATCAGAGGTTTCAGAGCATTTTCCAATAAGTGAATGAGCAAGTGTTCAACCAATGTTGATTTTCTTTGGGAATGCAAACAACAGACAAACCAACGCTGAATCATACTGGCTCATGAACCTGTCATCCTGAAGTTACATTTGCTGGGTCCATTTGAGTATTACAAAACCAATATTTTAAAACTAAAAAAGCTGGCACAACCGGTTCAAAACAAACCAACCTTATCATACTGCCATTGATCAAGCTGTGGCGTTGTACGCTCGAGCTTGCTCCTATTTGGACCCCGCAAAAATCAATTCCAATTTTTTTCAAAAGCAAGGTGGCCATGTTTCTTTTCTTTTCAATTTTAACCATTCATTTCCGAAAATGGTCTTTTTCCACGCAGCGAATAAAACACAATCTGAGACAACTAAAAAAGGTGAATTTGGATATATTGAAAGCTACGTGGAGAGTTCTTCGATTGAAAACTGAAATGTAAAATTTAGAAACTTAGGAATGACCATCTTCGGAACCGTTACAAATATTATTTATTCACTGGGTGTAAATGGAACACACGATTACATTTTTGGCATACATGTAATTGCAGTTTGCCTTCGTCAACAGCAAAGCATTATTTCCCCTATAAAGAAGCAAGCATGTATCTACTGTCAGTTCATTAAATTAATAGTTTCGTCACACTGCTTTTAGTTGTCTACCGGTGATCATGAGTTAGTGATAAGTTCAGTTATGTAACGGGGTGTCATCATAAGTACAACTGGGAAGACGGCCCAACGTAACGTTTACCCCTGTGGTAATCCGATCATCGAATCCTGGCACTAACAAGGAACCGAACTCTACCCAAAGAATTACAGCACCGTATACGACTTGGGGAACCGTGCCCACTTTTCTCCATCCATCCGCAAGGGCTGGATCAACAGGTGTCTTCACACATTAACTCTTGAGTGTTACTGCTGAAATTGACATGACAGATAATCGGTTATTTTCTGGTCTTGACTTTTTTATATCACAGGAATATGTGATTCCACCACATGCGCATTACTGACAAAATATGCACATGCTAACTTGACCTCCTGGAATCTAGTTACCATCATCCGTCCGGATTAACTAATGCATTAAAGAACAAACCTGTCAATCCAGTTAATCATCGGTATGACAAAAATTCGGATAAAGGAGGTCTGATTAAAGGAGATCAAACAGGGTCTGGATTAATTGGGTTTGCTGTACTTGTTTCTCGGCTAGGTAATCAATCTCCACGGCGTGGGAAGAACAGCAATGACGTTTCATTATTTTTTCGCCACATCTGTCAATTTGCTGAAGCATTTCTCCTGTTTCAGTGCTAGTAAGCTTCGCCGGCGGTGCCTCACGTAGTCGACGGCGCTAATTTAGCTTTCTGTGTACCTTGCCGCGGCTTTACCCTCTGAAGCCGTGAATGTTTCACGCGAAAAAAGCTTAAAGTTATTGCATGACTGATTATACGCGTGCCCCCAGGAGGGGCAAATACTTTAACCGTGCCTCTTGTACAGCATAATGCATTTTTTTCCCATTTATGGAGCAGCTTTAGACAGATCTCAGACAAATCAGTATCTATATCAGAAATTGATCGATGACTTCGGTTATTCGGGCTAAGACAAACAAAGGATTATTTGATTGAATAATACCAATTCCAGTCAAAGCTTTCTTAGGTCTTTACTTAGAGAACATAAATAGGGATATTCCATAGTGCTTTGGACATCACTTCTTCTTTCTCTTCTACAGTATTTGGATAATGACGTGATACATAAAAGGACTGACATATAGATATAGTTTCTAAAGCTTATCGATGCAAACACAGACGCAAATATATTTGGAATGAGCTTCCATGGGCGATGTGTCGGTAAGAAAACTAAGTGCAGTTCCCTAGTTTTACGTCTACCATATATTTCCGTGGGCTGTATTTGTTCATAATTGACATGCCTTTGCGTGTGTTTGTAACGGATTCCTCAGCTAGGACAGGATAAGCTCACACTCTCGCGAACACTCAGTATCATCAATATTTGATAGCGTTTCACAAGTACATGGTCATGATGATGTCGGAATCGTATCATAGCATATATTTGATATGAATATAGGAATTACTGTTTGGCTCTGTTAATTGTGCAATGTAAAAACTGGATATTTAGATAAAATCCTATTCTCTTGGGGGGGTGTCTTGTCAACTGGACAACACCACCATCGTAAATACGAGAAGGACCTGTAATTGTGTTTGAACAAGAGATGCTAGAGATATTGATGGCCATCCAGAAGATGACTCATCTGGCACTTAATCAAAGCACTGATGGTGACCATCCAATCCCCATTTTAGCCCACCACTGAACAAAGCCGCGCGTCTTTTTCTGTTTCGGGAATTTTTTTTTTTTGTTATTGTTGTGTATGAATATGTGTAAGACTGTTTTATTTATGTCGTTTGTCGTTATACGTCGCCCTCGGAAGCAGGGGCCTGTTAATCGCGTCTGTACAAACCAGTGACTGATGTTATGAGCAATGAACCACACCGACTGGTTCAAACTCACGCGACAAAACCAAGTCACCGGGCCTGACCACCGATTCATTTAGTCGCCTCTTGTAAAAAATACCCCAGATAACATGAGACCAATTATATCCATAATCTCCGAGAACGGAAGGAGTGAGTGAGTATGGTTTTACGCCGCTTTCAGCAATATCCCAGCAATATCACGGCGGGAAACTAGAAATAAGCTTCACACATTCCAGCCATATGGGGACTCGAACCCGGGCCTTCGGTATGACGAGCGAACACTTTTACCACTAGGCTAACTCACCGCCCCTATGAGGAATGAGGACATAGCAAACATTATTATATAATTAAAATCAAATGGAATATATTTTTTCATAAGCACTTGATTGCTTTTGATCTTTGAACTTAACTCCCCACGATCCATACCCAGATGCGTTTTAGTATTCCTTATTGGAAATATCCATACAGGTTATTTAAGGTGTTCTCCAAACCAACATGTTCTTGAATACATCTGGAACATCCGGTACTCTTTGTATACCATTATCCTGAAATGCATGTGTATCAAATTCAATGAAGTCTCCAAACCTGCCTTGCGTTGTAATGAGAACACGTTTTACTGAATAAACTCAAAAACTGATCAAGGTGAATGACAAGCTTCGTGGCAATATTGACAAGATATTGATCAGAAAGCACTCTCCATTGTTTCACCTTAACAATATTGATTAGCGCTAACACCAAGACGTTGATAATTAATTTCCGTGTACTTATAGCACTGATCAGTAATACTCCCTTCGATGTTCAGAACCTAGCCAAGCGTTCAGGTAATACCATGCCTACACACACTACATTGCTGCACCGTCATCAAAAGACTCCAATCATGCAATAAGGGCACGAAATAACATCATTAGTAGGGTATAGTGCTGGCGACCAGTGTCTTTCAGTGGAGGGAACGCTACAGCCGATAAACAGTTCAGAACAACTCGTTGCGTGTGCTTGAATTATGATGTGACATACAGCTGAAGCTGACGGTGCGCTAGTTATACAAAGGAAATCAGTCGTAGTTCTATTCGTGCAGTCCTAAGCATCCATCGTGCATGTATTGATTACACGATTTCATTAAGTGCTTACCCATTTATGTCTTTTTTTACTGAGTGAAAGCGTGTTCATTTTCGCAAGGCTTTCGTGACATCAAATATTGTATTTCTATTTTGCGCTTCAGTAATGTTCTGAAAGAACCTCTGTTGGTGCGTACCTTGGCTAGAACTTATGTATTGACTACAATTGCGATTCTGCGACAAAGAGTACACACCTGTGGGCTTTTGTGGTTAGACTGTTGGTCCTAAGCAACCAATTCCATGCTTGTGTAAGAGGCGACTAACAGGATCTAGGTCCCGTTCCTCAAAGCGACCGGGGCGGTGGGGTAGCCTGATGGTTAACGCGTTCGCTCGTCACGCCGAAGACCCGGGTTCGATTCCCCACATGGGTACAATGTGTGAAGCTCATTTCTGGTGTCCCCGCCCTGATATTGCTGGATTATTGCTAAAAGCGGCGTAAAACCAAACTCACTCACTCACTCACTTAAAGCGACCGTAACACTACAACAGTCGTAGGTCTATGTTAAAGTATCGGAGTTCCGATCATCTTAGCGCTACGATCGCTTTGAGGAACGGGGCCCAGGTGGTAAGGTTCGATCGCTTCCAAACCGCCGTCATATTGTTCAAATATTTCATACAGCGGCGTAAAACAACTAGCGAACAGAATATACAACGTCAATGCCAGAAAATAACCAGTCTGAATTTTCCAATTTTAAATACAAATTCCATTTGGAAAAGCTGCAAAAGGAGGATTTGGGATATTAAATGAAAACACACTGAATATCATGATAACACCAGGTGTTCGCGAAAATGGTATTGTGG